TGGTGACCGGTTGCCACCTGGACTTAACATCCATTTTGATGCAGCCCAGGACACAGTTGGCCTTCTGGGCTGCAAGTGCACACTACGGGCTCATGTTCAGCTTCTCATCAGCCGACATCCTCAAGTGCTTCTCGTCAGGGCTGCTCTCAATCCATTCTCCTCCCAGCCTGTATTTGTGCTGGGGGGGCTGCCCTGACCCATGCGCAGGACCTTGCACTTGGCCTTGTTGAACTTCATGAGGTTGGCATGGGCCCACCTCTCTGGCTTGTCCAGGTACCTCTGGATGGTATCCCTTCCCTCCAGCGTGTCGACCACACCACGCAGCTTAGTGTCATCAGCAAAGTTGGTGAGGGTGCACTCAATCCCACTGTCCATGTCGCTGACAAAGATGTTAAACAACGCTGGTCCCAATACTGATCCCTGCAGAATGCCACTTGTCACCGGTCTCTAATTGGACATTGAGCCGTTGACTGCAACTCTTTGAGTTCCTTATCCAGCGAGTAGTCCTTCCATCAAATCCATGTCTTTCCAATTTAGAGACAAGAATATCCAAAAGGCTTTGCACAAGTCCAGGTAGATGATGTCGGTTGCTCTTCTGTTATCCACCAATGGTGTAACCCCATTGTAGAAGGGTACCAAATTTGTCAGGCACAATTTGTCCTTAGTGAAGCCATGTTGGCTGTTGCCAATCACCTCCTTATTTTCTATGTGCTTTAGTATGGTTTCCAGGAGGATTTGCTCCATGATCTTGCTGGGTACAGAGGTGAGACTGACCAGCCTGTAGTTTCCAGTGTCTTCCTTATTTCCCTTTATAAAAATGGGGGTTATGTTTCCCCATTTTCCAGTCTGTGGGAACTTCACCAGACTGCCATGACTTCTCAAATATGATGGATAATGGTTTGGCAACTATGTCTGCCAGTTCCTTCAGAACCTGCAGATGCATCTTATCAGGTCCCATGGACTTGCGCATCTTCAGGTTCCTTAGATGGTCTCCAACCTGATCTTCTCCTGCAGTGGGCAGTTCTTCATTCTCCCAGTCCCTGCCTTTCCCTTCTGTGACTTCAGTGGTGTGACTTGAGCACTTGCAGGTGAAGACCGAGGCAAAAAAGTTGTTGAGTACCTCAAACTTCTCCATATCCCAGGTAATGAGGTCTCCTGTTACCTTGTGGAGGGGTCCCACATTTTCCCTAGTCTTCCTCTTATCACTAATTTACCTCTAGAAGCTTTTCTTGTTGCCCTTCTAGTCCCTGGACAGATTAAATTCTGTCAGGGCTTTCCTAACCTGATCCCTGGCTGCTCGGACAATTTTTTGTATTCCTCCCAGGCTACCTGGCTGTGCTTCCACCCTCTGTAGGCTTCCTTTTTGCGTTTGAGTTTATCTAGGAGCTCCTTGTTCATCCATGCAGGCCTCCTGGTGTTTTTGCCTGACTTCCTCTTTGTTGGGATGCATCGGTCCTGAGGTTGAAGGAGCTGATCCTTGAATATTAGCCAGCTTTCTTGGGTCCCTCTTCCCTCCATGGCTTTATTCCATGGGACTCTCCAAGCAGATCCCTGAAGAGGCCAAAATCTGCTTTCCTGAAGTCCAGGGCAGTGAGTTTGCTGTGCGTCCTCCTCACTGCCTTAAGTTCAAGAGAAATCTATCATTTCATGGTCATTGCAGCCAAGGCTTCCCTTGAGTTTCACATTCCCCACCAGCCCTTCCTTGTTGGTGAGAACAAGGTCTGCCATAGCACCACTCCTCGTTGGCTTCTCTATGAGTTGGAGAAGGAAGTTATAATCAGCTCATTCTAGGAACCTCCTGGCTTCCTTATGCCCTGCTATGTTGTCTCTCCAACAGATATCAGGGTGGTTGAAGTCCTCCATGAGGACCAGAGCTTGTGAATATGAGGCTGCTCCTATCTGTCCATAGAGGGCCTCATCTGCTCAGTCTTCCTGATCCTGTGACCTGTAGCAGACCCCCACTATAATGTCCCCTGTCCCTGCCCTCCCTTTTCTCTTGAACCACAAGCTCTCGTTTGGCTCCTCATCCCTTCCCAGGCAGAGCTCCGCACACCCTGCTGGTTACTGACAATAGAGGGCAACTCCCCCTCCTCGTCTCCTCTGCCTGTCCTTCCTAAAGAGCCTGTATCTGTCCATTCCAACACTCCAGTCTTAGAAGCCATCCCATCATGTCTCTCTGATGCCACTGAGATCGTAGCCCTGCAGGCGTGTGCACACATACAGAGGGCTATACTTCTGCCACTTTCACCAAATTGATGCACATCAGTTAGAAATTGTCTTATTCACGAGGCAATTATAGTCATCCCAAAGTCAAACCAAGGTAAGTTATTTCATACTTGTGAGAGTTAGGGAACAAAATTACTGTCAAAGAGTAATCTAGGTTGTTTTGCTAAGTCTTACAGAAATAAATTTGCTTTGCTGTTGTAATGCTTATCTTGAGACTGTCTTGGACATGGCTAGATTTATAGGTGTGCCAAAGTTGACAGGTTAGTAAGTAATGTAGTAGCTTCTGGACTGAAGTCCAGCCTTGCCTTACAAGTGATGGATAAAATACTCTTGCTTGGTTAAGAAAAAGGCATTTTATCACTGTTAGTTCTTTCTCCCATTTATTATAGGATTGCTATGCGTCAGAACTTACACACATTGCTGAGGCTGCATTCATACACTGATGTATATTCAGTTCCCATTTACACAGCTTTCTGAATAGTGCTTCGACACCTGCTTATGGCAGTGACTGTGGAAAGGAAAAGTAGTATAAGGATTGCCATGTTCTGAAAGTAGATAATGTCTCTCAGCATGGCTAAATGTTAATTGATCAGGCTGCAGGTGGTTCCTGTGAACCCTCAGCTCCCGCTTCTGTCTAGAACAATGTGAGCAAGGATTGCTTGCCCCAAATGTACAAAGGTAGTTTAAAATTTTTAAAAATAAGGCATTTGTGATGTGGTGGTTAACAGCTTCATTGTTCGTCATCCCTCTCTTCTCCCAAGTTGCCAGACCTTATTCCTCAGCTGGGAATGCTATACCAGTTAATGGAGAGCAGAGTAAAAACTTTGCAAAAGCTTTCCCGTCTGCATGGAAGACTCTTCATTCTTGTCACCCAGGTGAGTTCCAACTAAATATGGGATGTGTAGAAGAAGTATTGTTTGTAGACTTAACTTCCAGTTGTGATTACAACTGATGGGACACGTCATTGGGAACTTTATACAGCTGCTGTATAACTATGCTCATATCACTCAAAGCAGTACTCTTTAACTGTCTAGTCAATCCATGCTTGCTGGAAACATTACACAATTTTTTCCTGCCAAATGTGTCTGCTAACCCATAGAGTTTTAAAGGGAAGTAAATAGGAGGTACTGGACCACTTCAGAGCACATGCATCTAAAATTTTACTTTGTCCTTCGTACTTGTTTGGCTGTTGAACTACTACTGTAAATTAATGAATCGGTGTTAAACTTGATGTAGACTGGATTTACACTGTTGTGAGTTTTGTTGGCTTCTAAGGTTGGTATATATGATTGCACCTAAGGCTAATCTGCAAATTCCATTCAGGTTGCAGCATCGGAAGCAGTTCAGGATGTAACTGAGGTTAATCAGACTGCAAAGCTGGTATATGAGGATGGTAAGTGTTGTATGCTAGGTGGAGCTCAGCTCCTGAGTTCACGTGACAGCCCATACTTGGTGGCTGTTCACCATGTTCCTGTGCTTATCTGTTAGTGTGCAGTCTGCAAGTAGAGAGCTTTTTGTGGAAGTCCATGGCAAGAAGGTCAGGGGTTAATGATGCATGCATCTTTTAGTTGGTCCTTCCCTTTCCCTCCTTTTATTTCCTTTCCTTCTCTTTTATTCCTGCTTCGCAAATTAAGGAATTGGTTACTTGGAAGTTCAGCATGCTGCTTAACTTAACTGGCAACCTCAAATCCCTGGTGTTAGCTGCCCTTCTGCTACGGTAGATACAGTGAAGGCACTTTCACGCTTGAGTCAGCAGGACATCTAGGTTGTGGTGCATGTCAGTGTATGTGCATGTACATTTCCAATTTGTCCTTTTTTTCTACTGCACCTTCATATTGTATAATCGTAACTTGTTCCTAATTCGTGTTGATCAATGTAACCTTCAGGTAGAATTAGTTTTGGAATTGAAATAGCACAGTTTGGAGACTTAGCAACATGTGGGGTTGGGCTTTGTATGCACAATGACAGTTTAAAGTCTATTCTCCAGACCGAGAGATTATTTTCTTTTGCAGAATCCTCAGGGGAGGAAGGATCAGATGATGAGATGATGGCAGATAAAGACTCTGATGTAAGTGGAGTTGGATCAGATCTTCTCCCGTTTGCTTGTAACAGAAGTGGTGTGACTGTCCAAGGTTCAAACATTCCTGTTTATTTTTTCCCCAGGAAAACTGGGATGAAGATGAAGAAAAAGAGGAGCAATCTGATGAACAAGAAATGACTGTTGAAAAGGAAATCAATGGTGATTCTGATTTGGAACCAGAAAATGAAAGTGAAGAAGAATAACAGCACGAAAGAATAATTTTAACAGTTTTAACAAGTGGGCCACCAAACTCTAATTCTGGATCATCTTGCTGAAAGGTGCCATATTTGCATATAGGGAGTGCAGATGTGCACGGCCTGTGTGCAGCGGCACATGTGGGACACTGTGCATTTCTGAATCCAGAATGTTTAACCATGCCAGCCTTCTCTTGACCTATTTCCCTGCGCTTACTTATAGAAACATTTCTTCCACCTCATGGTCAGATTATGCCTGTCGTGTGGACATGCATTTGTATCTCAAGTGAATAAATCTGCCACCGCTGTTTGTGTGGTAAACTTGGTTCAGCATTACATGGAATTTGTTTCAAATATTCAAGGATCAAAAACAACCAGTCTATACCTTCTTTCCATGCTTCAGTTAGCAGTAGCAAGTGGGCATCCTGCTGCATTTTTAAAAAAAAAGAAACAGAAAAAAATATTTTTGTAATATTTAAATTCTCTACTGAAATTCTTTTCTTCCCCCCATCCTCCATTGGTTTAGCCATGCCTTGGCAATATCTAAATGCCACCCTGACTTAAAAATGGCTTTTTCTTTTTTTAACAAATTTGAACTCACAACTTTTATATGTATAAATCAATGACTTTTCTTGTGCTTCAAAAGGACATTAGAATTATCACTGGCTTCTAATTTTGTTTTAATGGAGGCTGTATATAAGAGGATAGACTGTTGAATTGGGTGGAGAGAGGCGAGTAACACAGGGAAATAAGAAGGTGAATGCTTGTGAATAAATAGCGCACAGCTATACCTTTATTACAGATTTTTAATCTCTCAGTGGCAGAACAAGGACAGCTATTTGCTCAGCTAATAGAAGCTGAAGTGGTGCAAACATTTTTAAGAGCAAAACAAGGTAAAAGGTTTGAGCCATTCACCACTATAATGTACAATAATATATTTGTCTATAAATGGAGCTGTTGCAACTAAATACCACCCTCTTTGTAAAGTGAATAAATATACATCTCCTTTACCAAATACCTGTGCTGTGGTGTTTGTTGAGAGAGACCTTAGGTAGCTAAGGGTGGTGGTTAAGGATAAAATGCTGTTTGTTGAAAGCAGATTTCTAGTGGAGGAGGAAGACAACCTAAAAGGTTACAGTGTTCTGAAAAGCATCTATTGTTACCGATTTTTTTTTTTTTTTAGGTCCATATGTTTCAGTCCTGTCTGTTTGGGGATTGCATTGGGATTGCAGTGTTGTCTGGAGGTGTAGGGGATTGACAAAGCTGGAAAAACATGTTCTGTCTTTGGAGAGCTGGAGGCAGAAGAGCAGCAGTGGGAGGCTTCCAGACTTCAGAGGGTTTTAACTGACAGTGAATCACTGTTTTAATAATTTGTACAGCTGGGCTTTTATTTAATTTCTGAGATGCTGTGAAAATAAATGCCAACACTTGTGCACTGTCTGCACTCACACAAGCCACTGAATTGGGCTGAAGTGTAAGTTTTTAACCAGTACGGATGTTACTATAAGCAGGCAGGCTTTGAATCAGGCAAAGGAGGGATGTGAATGAAGGTCTATTGCATCTCAGGTGGGTGCCGGTCTGCTGAGCTTTTGGGGTGTAGAACAACACAAGGAGCCAGATGGGTTTTGATTGTGCAAGGTCCTACATGTATCTTTGTCCCAGTCTTTCCAGAAGTTGAAGCAGGAGCCCTGGGTTAGGGTCAAAGAGCCAGCTGAGTATCTTGTTGGCACTGTTTGGGTACAGGGAGCGGAGGCATTGGAAACCTGTCACCACCCCCCAATGTACCTGTAAGGTTGGTATTGCCTGTGTCCATCCTTTCAGTGCACCAGAGACCTGTTGCAGGAGCGGAGCTAAGGGAAAACCTGGCGGCAGGAGGAGGAGGAAGATTTCAAGAACGTTTTGTTCCTTCTTCCATCTCACTGACATTGAGATTCTGCAAGTCTGTTTCAATGTCAGACAGCAAGCCTGGTAGCAAGGGTACAACTTCGGTTCTGCTCTGATGTCATGACAGCTGGGTCACACTGTCCTCCGAGTTGCCTGCCTGCATCATTTTCAAGCAGCTGTTCTGTGTGAAACCATTGGGGTATGGCAGCTGCAAACAATTGGGCTGATGGTTCTGAAAATTTCCCTTGCCTTAGAGCTGGTAACTGACAGTTCTGTGCACTTTCTAATCCTTACAAGGATTTATCTGCAAAGCTAAGGTTTCAACCAGCTGATGACTAAGCTGGTTGTGTCTTCATCTTCCAAAGGTGCAGCACCCTCTGGAGAGGCTGGAAATGGGGTAGGTCCTCCCTTGCAGCCCTAATCCTGGTAGTTTTGGAGCAATGAAGAGAGTAAGGAGGATAGACCAGCTGGGCGTTTGGAATCCAAGGTGTGTCCAGAGCAAGCCTCTGCAGTTAAGCAGTTGACAAATCGATGGGGTGGAAACTCTGAGGCGTACCTTTGTTTTTATTTGCCTGACTAGTATTGTGTTCCATTTAGAGATGTGTATTTAACATTTGTCCAGGCACCACTGCAGAGCGCAAAGGGTTTTTGTTGGCTGTTTTTCATGTGATGACGGGTTTATTTCCAGGTTACAGAAGTAAGTAAACTTTGACTGTGCTAAGGCGCAATACCATAGATGGCCAGGGGGTGTCAATCCAGCTCCATCAAAATTCCTTGGATTACGAGGCAGCAAGAGCAACTTGTGCTTTTGGGGATGGCATCAGTGTATTGCTGCTAAATGCATCCTGCTGTAAGACAGCGTGGCTCTCATTCTCAGTTCTTGCTATGGTTTTGCTTCCAAAGGGACTTAGTACTACATCAGGACTTGGTGCAAGAGATGTTTGTTGCCTCTCTCTTGCTAAACATTCCAGTTTCATCTGAATCTCAGAAGTTTGGTAGGGGAATAAGAGCGGCACATGTAGGATATGTGCACTTGTGTCTGTTAAAGGTTTTGCTGTGTAAGGACTTGAGAGTTTGGATGTTTTGCTTTTGGTCTCCCTGCATGCTATTGGAAGTGATTTAATTGGTTTAAAAAAAAACAAAACCTTTTTTCTGGTTCATCCTTTAAATTACTTTTGCTAATGGCTGTCCCAGAATAACTATCTCGATGATCTTGGTTAAGAAGAAGAAAACAAAAGGAAAACATGCTGTTGGAGACAGGGTAGAGGGGGAGGATGCGGAAGGGGAGAAAGGAAGGAAAGATTTAGGATGCACAACTAGTTCTTAGAAAATTCCCGATTACTGGGAAAATGGGTATGTAGACATCTGAAAACTGCAAAATTACAGAGATGGTATATAGCTTGATAACCAAGTTGTAGTTTAGGCTGTCTTGTGATGAAACAAGGGCTTGGTACCGTATTCACCCTTCTTTGAGTGGAAGGGAACTGTTTGGTGATAAGGAAAACTCATTCTGTGTGCAGTTTTGCCCTTTGCCTCTTTAACCTGTGCATACACCAAGATTAAGTCTCTAGGAAACTCATCAGTGGCCTTTGGGATCTTGGTTCCCTGCTTCCTGGGAGGAGGAGGCTGTACAGAGAGGATGGTGGTAAATACTCTGTGTCTTTGCAGGCGTGTCCAAACTCACAGCTGTGGGATCTTGATGAACCATCCAGGAGACTCTCTGGTTCCCTGATCTGTAGGAAAGACAGATAGTTTGTAAATTAATTTATTGTGGGTGGCTTAAAACTTCAGTTTTGCTTTAGAGAGCAGTGTGATTGACCCTGGAAGGAAAAATTATTCCTGTGTCTGCAGTCTTCTAAAAGTGGGTGACTGCTACTTTGGCTGGTTGCCAGGTGGCCATACCCTTCCAGTTTGGGATTGGGTTTGGGATCAGTCTTGCCATCTCCCTCCCGACATGTAGGTCCCTAAGCTCTCTAACTTGGTGTGCAGAGCACCTGGAGTCACTGCTGCTGGAGCTGTGGGTTGGAGGTGATCTTGTAAAGCAGGTAGCACGTACTATTATGGTGTCTGGATGCCTCAGCTCCTATGTTGTGAGAGCTGTGGTGTTTTTCTGTTCATTTAAACATCTGTAAGGACTTGTTTTGAACTGGAGAGAGAGATCCATTCCTGTTGGGGTTTCACAAGAAACATTGGAAGCCGCTGCACTCAAGCAGAGGAAGTAACTTGCCTAAATGTGTTTGGTTGTTGCCAGCATGATTGTTTTTGGCTCAATTGCTGCCTAAAACATAGTCTCATTCTGGGGTCTTCTCTTCAAAACTACTTTATACCCAGCCTTTGCAAAGTCAAGATCATAAAGAAAATCCTGCTTGAAAGAGAGCCTGGGCCTTTGTGTGAGGAAAATTTTGTCCAGATGCCTTCATCTCTGCTTCTGTTTTGGCAGCAAGATACGAAATCGCTCAGCAAGAAGGTACAAGAGATAAATAAGATTTGTGTGAGTTAATCTCACGTTATCTAGGAGAAGTGAAGTCGGGGTCAGACCTGGAGCCTATCCAAAGCTCTTCTAATCATGAAGATGGGGTTAACTAGGTTATTTAAAATACCTTGGCTCAGTAATGAGTCCTCTGAGTTATTTAGGAATAACTTAGGGAATTAATGGTGCATTTTGTCCTTGAGAAGAAAATATTTCTCTTAAGATCCAAGGGGGCTTGGAGGGGAGGAGATTGTCTCTAGGTTCCTCCCACGATGGTTACTGCATACAGAAGCTTAGGACACACTTGATCTCTGCATCTGTGAATTGGAGGACAGTTTGCTTTCATCAACATTAGAGAGCACTTGTCTGTTGATTATTTTAGTGACTTCCCAAAGCCCCTGCAATAAAACAGTCAACAGTATTTTGGTGCTTGATAGCATGTTTCAGAAGGAGTGGGCTTGTGCGTTTGTCATGCTTTCTTTCACATAATAAACTCGTTCTTTATATTCAGCTGTTGTCTGATGGGACAATAAATTATTTATTACCATGGCAATGGTTGCTGTAGGAAACTGGCATCAACAAGAATCTTTTTCATGTCCACATCAATGAAAAGTATTAAAAATCTTCCCCCTTGGAATCAGGTGAGACCATTTGTGACACTTCCTAAAACTGTGGTGTAGAGGTAAGTCAGACTGAAATACTATCACACAGAATGTCTGGTACAGGAACCAATGACCCTTTCCACTGGCTCTAGTTGGAAGTCCCTGTAATCAGAGCAAAGAAATGTTTTCTGCCTTCAGCAGAACCTGGATTTTCTGAGAAGGGCAGTTGACAGCAAAGGTTGGTAGAACCTGCTTTCAGTGGAGTTGTGCTGTGTTGGTTCAAAGATTTCTGCAATGCAAAAAATCTCATGGTGTGAACCCCAGGAACATAGGAACACAGGTATTTGTACCCCTCCCCCCCCCCCAAGTTCCATAAATTCTAACTTAGTTTGCCCATCTTTGCTTATTTTAGATTATGTTTTCTAATGTGTATTAGTGCTGTGATGACTGCTGCTCGAAACTGCAAGCAGAAGAAATGCAAGTGTCTGCTCAGCATCCAGCGTGCTCGTGAGTGCACGGGAGGCTTTGGCTGCACATTCCTTCATCTTCTAAAGGTGCCCTGCCGGAGTGGTGGTAAACCAGCCTGATGCACCATGTGCTGAACCTGTAAAACATGGGAAAAAATTAGCATTTGCATTTCTA